TGCAAGGTCCTCCAAAATCTATACAGAACATTATCCTAGTGGAGTATCCTACTATTACCGAGTGCGGCCACCAATCTCTCATTTCTGAATAATTGCACGGTAATATCGCATACAATTTAGTATGACATTTCCACTCAAGTAGCCATTTATTATCCATAAGCATTTTAGAATTTCGATTATCATTATAAGAGAAATGTTTACTGACTGTATTTCCTGCCTATTAGATAAAAATAGCAAGACTCTCTGCTTTAGTGATAACCACATCGTGCAAATCACATTGCATTTGCATTATTGAAGGCATTACAAAAGCAGATTGATGAGAATATTTATCAAGAATGCATTTTTAAAATACTACACCAGAAAATTTCGTCGATATAAAACAATGGCAACATTGGATTTTCCTCGTCCCCTTTAACAGACCAGTGGAATTTTCGGTTGGATACCAGTGTCGCAACACCGTTACTGATGCTAGTATTATTGCAGTTAGTTATCCATACTGTAAGCGTTGGTAGAGTAACATTGGCAGCCGTGGCGGCGGTGGTAGTAGTAGTACTAATAGTAGGATTATTAGTAGTATTCGCCGTATCAGTGGAGGTAGACGGGGGAAAACGTTTTCTTCAGTGTTGCGACACTGTATTCCCGCCAGTGGTAGTAGTATTTGTAATAACAGCGGTAGTAGTGGTAGTAGTAGTAGCAGTAGTAGTGGTGGTGGTAGTAGTAGTATTAGTGGTAGTAGTAGTAGTATTAGTAGTAGTAGTAGTAGTAGTCCGCCCGTAACACAGGCTGGTGGGGGACTAAACAATTCTAAGTGTTGCGACACTGTATTCCCGCCGAATTTTCTTTGTGAGTTGGTTCAGGTCATAGTCAAGGGCTTCATTGAGTATCCGAACCGGAATGTATATGTAGGGCGAGTTGGTGTAATGAACGGTTTGTTCTGCTGTCCTTAAACATGAAAGTGAATCAATATTGCAATTGGGGTTTGCATCATCTGCTCTCATTCGTCCCGAAATGCTAATATTGATATCAGCAAAGGAGACTTCGCAACTCACCATGACTTTATTTTTAACATTCAGCCGCTGTGTTTTTGGATAGGATGGGTAACTTAAGTGATGAAGTAAATGATTAATTTTGCAGACAACGCAGGGTGTTGGCATTCGAGTGAAATTGTTGGCTGCTTGCAAATAAACCACTAGGTAAAAGATAATTTTGTTATTGATGTTTTGGCAGATTTTGAATAATTCATATTGACCCAACTGTGAAAAACTCGGCGCCTCGGTGGGATTCGAACCCACGGGGGGGACGCGCTAAAGCCTTCCTCTTACTGCGTGGGTTCGAATCCCACCGAGGCGCCGATGATTTCACAGTTGGGTCAATATGAATAGTTTTGTTAGTATTAGGGCTTTTCCATAGATTTTCGACAAATTTTCAACACCATCTGTACAAAAGATTTTAAATTTTAAACTCATTTAATAGCAAATCACGCATTCGTCAAAATTTATGTGACATCTTTCAATTAAGAAAGTTACTTATGACAATGTGAAAATCATACAACCCTTTATTCGAATAAACGGCTTCTTGTAGCTTAATGTATGCTTATCATAAAGCCTAAAATACGGTCCACATTTGTTGGAGCATTTTGGTTGCCACACATGGTGTTTTATTGACTGGATTTAGGCATGCCTGTTTTAATTTGCACGGCAAACAAACAAATTGAAAACTGAAAACCTCAGAAATGCACATGAAGGTCAAAATTACTTAAGAATTAAAGGGATACGAATTTTGAATTTGTAATTTGTAAAAGGCTTATGCGATACCAATCACAAACAAGATGTATTTTGCTTATGAATAGATCTTTTAAAATATATTTGAGTTTGCAAGGACGCCAAGACTTAATACAGAACATGTACACTAGTTTGGTGATCATACTTTTATCGAGTGTGGCTATTCCCGGACGAACGAAATGCACTCAGAGGCGAACATTATCACACGTCTAAAATTTCACACGATAACGTCTCGTAAAGTTCACTATTACAATTCCACTCTAGTTGTCCTTTCTAATCCAAAATACATTTTTACAATCCGGTTAACGTTTTAAGAGAAATTGTAACTGACTCTTTTTCCTGCCTACTAGATAAAAATAGCAACACATTATGTTTTAATAAGAACAACATCGTCCACGTCTTAGAGGTTTACACGCATAGTGCATTTACTTTATTTAAGGCATTACAAAAGCACTTTAATAAGTATATTAATAAAGAATGTATTTTTACGATGCCAAAAACAAGAAAATTTTGTCGGAATAAAACAATGACAACATTGGACTTCGATCGTCTTCTTTAACAGACCATTGGAATTTTCTTTGTGAGTTGATCCAGGTTATAGTCAAGAGCCTCATTGAGTATCCGGACAGGAATAGATCTGTGAGGTGATTTGGTGTAATGACTGGTTTGTTCGGCTGTCCTTGTAAATGAAAGGGCATCAATGTTGCAATTAGGGTTTGCATCATCTGCTTTCATTCGTCCCAAAATGCTAATATTGATATCCGCAAAGAATACTTCGCAGCTCACCATGACTTTACTTTTAACACTTAGCCGCTGTAACAAAAGCAAAATTCTGTCATTTGTCTTTTGAGTAGATTTGCCAGAAAACTTATGGTATGCTTTTTTGGCAAGAAGCTACTTACGTGTATCACTCGAAAAACGGATGGTAAGATGATCCCGTTACAGTCAAA